GGCTTGTATAAGCTTTAGGCAAAAATTTCCAACCCTCAGAAAGAGGCTGGTGAGCTCTATTTATAGAGCACAAGGCGTAAATATCTGAGATATTTATGTAAAGTGTGTTGAGCAAGCTAAAATCCCCGAAAATGCTCTGTATCTGGAAAATTCAGCCGGTCGTTCCCTTTGATGTCCGACTGAATACACTTTTAACCAGCTATAAAATGTTGTCTGACATGTCAGAAGGTACATCACTAGATTAACAAGGTAAGGTTAGCCTAAATTGAGAGGAGAAATAGGCATTTCAAAGGATTTCACCCCTTCCATTCATTTCTGTTGCATCTGTTCCTCTGTTTGTTTTGAAAGAATACAATATTTTGATTTTGAAAAGACGAGCCTTAGGACATATTGGTAATGTTTGGAACTACACAACCAAACCCATTTTGAAAAAGGTTTTTCTACTGGTTGAAAAGTACTTCGGCCAAAATAGTTTCTTGGTTGTTTAAATACTCAAACATTAGACTTTTGGCTGAGGGATTCATAGGACTATCACATCTCGTTTTCATCATTGGGCACCTAAGAGAGAGCACCCAAGTCTTAAGATTGGTAAAAAATGGGGTATCCACACCAACCTGTTCAAAACACGACCAACTCTAAATAATCAATCCCACATCACAACAAGATAACAAGGAGTATAAACAATAACGAGTACTGGATCCCGGATCAATGAATGAAAAAGGGTTAGGTCTTAACCCAAACCGCTATTATCTCCCCTCCATAGGAAATTTCGTCCCCGAAATTGAATTAATGTAACGATAACGCAATAAACTATCAACAATAATGACAATAAATAACTCATGCTAACAAACAATATAAAAAATATAATAATCCATTCCAAACATATTGATCTCAAATCTCCAAAACATTCATAATGTTCCCATATTACAACTCAAGTGAAATTTAGTACAAAAGATTCAAATATCAACAAACAGGTCCGGGTACTTCTCACAGACTTCAGCCTCACGCTTCCAAGTCGCTTCATCAACTTCGTGGTGCCGCAACAACACCTTAACCAATGAAATAGTCTTACCCTTCAAAACTTGATCCTAAGTATCTAACACTCAAACCAGTCTCTCTTCATATGAGGCATCATCATCTACTTCTAAATCGGTCCAATCTAATACGCGTGAAGGATCGTGCTCGTACTTCCGGAGCATACAGATATAAAATGTAGCGTGAACCCCAGAAAGTTGATGCGGCAATGCCCAATGATAAGCTACCTCCTAAATCTGCTCTAGAATCTCAAAGGGCCTAATGAATCTAGTAGGGGTGAGAATGGTCCGGATTGGACCGGATTGGGGTAAAATCAGGACCAATCTGTTATCTACGGTTCTTGAAAAATTGAAACCAATCCAATCCGTTTAAATTATGGAACCAATCCGAACCAATCCATTTAAACACGGATTGGATTGGTTTAGGACCACGGATTCACATAATTAAATAATATATATATATATATATATATAACATTTTAATTTCATAAAAATATAAATATAGCACTATATTAGTTCTACCATAGTAACATGTCTTTCTATAATAGCGATATACTGTTTTAGAATGTAAATAACCATAAGAAAACTAGTTCCACCATAAGTATTTAGATCATTACAAATCAAAACTAAAAAGTAACAAACAAAAGTAATAAAAGAAGATACTATGTGGGTTTAGGTTTGTGTTTAGGTTATATATGGAATAAGCAAAGATACTATGTGGGAGGGTGTATAATAAAAATATAGACTATTTGTATACGGCTCGGGTCGGTTCCAATCCGGAACCATGGGGTTCAATCCCAAACCAATCCGTAGACTACGGATTTTTAATTCTTTAATCCGGAACCGAACCATGGATTTAAAAAACCAATCCAAACCTATCGGATTGGACTGGACTGGATCGGATTACGGATTTTACGGATTCCTTGCTCAGTTCTAGAATCTGGGAGACAACTTCCCACTCTTCCTAAATCTCATCAAATCCTGTCTCGGCAGGATTTTAAGAAATACGTGATTCCCTCCCTCAAAAAACAAGGGTCTCCTCCTTTGGTCGGTATAGCTCATTTGATAACTGAGCCAAAACCAATCTCTTACGGATAAGTGCGACCTTCTCTGTTGTTTTTCGGACTAATTCTTGACCTAACATAGGTTTGTCACCTACTTTGGCCTAACATACAGGAGATCTACACGGTCGACCATACAGGGCCTCAAAAGGTGCCATTCTAATACTCGCTTGAAAGCTGTTATTATAGACAAACTCTACCAAAGGCAAATACTTCTCCTACAATCCCTTAAAATCGAGAATACAAGCTCAAAGCATATACTCTAAAATCTAAATAATGCACTCGGACTACCCGTCGGTCTGAGAATGATAGGCAGTGCTAAAACTCAACTTAGTGCCCCAGCCACTTTGTAGGCTTTGCCACAACTAAGCCGTAAAACGCAAATCCATATTCGAAACTATAGTCACGAGGACCCCGTGAAGTCGCACTATGTCTCTAACATATAGATCGACAAGATATAGTCTACCGAGTCACTCGTGCACATAGGCATAAAGTGTGCAGATTTACTTAATCGGTCGACAACTACCCACACGACATCATTACCTCGTTGAATCGGAAGGCACGTGGTACCTACTCTGCGCCTGTTTTCGATCTTTCACCCTAGATACTTAGACCAACTTAACTAATACCAAAGTACACCTCCTATCCAGACTTACTAAATGTATTTATCCCAAAATATTTCAAGATCATCAATTGTTTTCTCAAAACAATAACTCAATTTTCAAAATATAGCCATAATAACTGATATTCAAAAATTATGCAAGTGATGAAATGCAAATGCAAATATATAAATCCCACAATTCTCAACACTTTTCGTCAATGTGAATTACAACCTTCGACATTCCTTAATGCTTCAAATAACAATCAATATCCACATACATGACATAGCACATTCTTTTCAAGAGAAATAAATAAAATAAATAAGTTTAAGTGGGAGGTGAAAGTCATCTAGCATGAGGTTTATGCATGTAAAGAAACTGAACTCAAACTCATTTAATAAAGAATTTAAATATGTTGAATTAAATTGGATACATCTTGGAGAAATAAACCCAACCAACCCTTTTACTTAATTTATTTTGTTTTCCCCTTCTTCTCAATGGATAATGGGAGATGGGGGTGGTGGAGATGGCAGTGATGACTATGATAGTGTGGTGAAGAAGATGATATTTATTTACACAGATTTAAACAAGTCTTAATGTCCAATCTATTTAAACTCAACTTTAGGCCTCGTTTGGGAATATGCTAATTTAGTAATTTTTTGTCTATTTGGTTAAAATATGAGCTAAAAAAAACTAGCATGTTTGGGATGACAATTCTCAACACTTTTCGTCAATGTGAATTACAACCTTCGACATTCCTTAATGCTTCAAATAACAATCAATATCCACATACATGACATAGCACATTCTTTTCAAGAGAAATAAATAAAATAAATAAGTTTAAGTGGGAGGTGAAAGTCATCTAGCATGAGGTTTATGCATGTAAAGAAACTGAACTCAAACTCATTTAATAAAGAATTTAAATATGTTGAATTAAATTGGATACATGTTGGAGAAATAAACCCAACCAACCCTTTTACTTAATTTATTTTGTTTTCCCCTTCTTCTCAATGGATAATGGGAGATAGGGGTGGTGGAGATGGCAGTGATGACTATGATAGTGTGGTGGAGAAGATGATATTTATTTACACAGATTTAAACAAGTCTTCATGTCCAATCTATTTAAACTCAATTTTAATTAAATTTATAAAAGCATAACTAATTTGAACCCATTTATGAATTATGAATGTGTACAAATTGAAACAAATTTAATTAAGCCATTTCACAATTTCAGGTAGAGTATGCCACTTTTAATCTCGATCAAACTCGTCTGCCAAAAAATTATCAAAGCTTTTGTTTTTGTTCGTTACACAAGGCCAAGTTGCTTGTTATATTTGTGGGAGCTCTCAAGCTTGAACACTCAAAAAACCAACTTATATTTGTGAAAGTTCTCGAGCTTGAACACTAATGGTTATAAAATAAAAATAAAATAAAAATTTATAATTATTTTAAATTAAAAAAATTATCACACTCACCATTAAATAATGTAAAATTATAAAATATACAATGAAGCAAATCACAATCCCTCAAGGAGCTTGGCTCATTACACAAGCCAAGATACACACTACCCAATATTGTAGTAGTTATGAATGCTAGATTTGTGTTTTACAATTAAATACTAAATATAACGATGATACCGCGAAACAGTATCATTATCTAATGAGCATTCTTAATTTGCGTTAAAGATAACAATATTGTTGGATTAATGAGAGGAGTTATCCACTTAGGCCATGTTTGTTTGGGCGGACTGGATTAGTATTCCCATGACTAATAGTCCTAGGACTACAAATCCGTTCGATTATGTATCCTATCTTAACTAATAGTCAAGTTTAAAATAATTAATCCGTACTTTAATTGTTTAACCAAACATCGGATTAATAATTTTATTGGACTATTAGTCCAATCTCAATGTCATGTCCACCCAAACAAACATGACCTTAATGTATTGGCAATTTTTTTACCAACCGGTTACACCCGGTAAAATGTTGTCACTCACTGTTGCCCAAATATATATATATATATATATAGTGTTCTACAATATTTTTTCATGTTTAGGATGATAAGACAACTTTGCAATGTACCTTTCTTCAGGTAACCAGGTACACAATTTTCTATTTTATCAAACACAAGTTGAGAAATTTGAATCAGCTGATAATAACTGCTTTGCAGGGAGTATGGAAGAGGTAGAAATTGATACACTGGAAGAAGCCGGGGAGGGGGTTGAAGTGAAATGGAAAGCATACAGCAAGATCCAGCGGCATGTTTCATGATAATCTCTGCCACCAGCTCAAACATTCCCCAAGCTCCGGATCAAAAGCATATTTTCCATTAACCACTTTACATCATCCAAATGCAAACGTGTAGGCAGTTTTCCGTCACAAAGAATAATATAGTGATATGTACATTATTGGTAAGTAATCTAGTCGCAATCCCAATAATTAAAAACTGTATTTCCTGAGAAATAAAAAATATTACAAGCCTTGTAAAAAACAAGGTCAAAGCTCAACCTATAATTACTAGTACAAAATTGCCAAGCTCAAGGAATAAGGTGTCAGCAAAGATAATTTTCACTTTCTTTCACCTTCCTTTAAGGATGAATTGGGGGCATAGAACAGAGTTACCACATCACACTTAAACAGATCCTCCGGCAGCAGCACCCTTAACATAGTCCCCTTGCTCTTCTTTGGCAAACTCTTCAATTAGTTCACGCTGCCTTTGAGTCAAATTTCTGCACAAAATACCCCCATCAACCGCTAAGCATTGTAATTTTACCCTAAGGGGAAGAGGGAACATTTTGAAATGTCCCAAAAGATACCTAACTAAAGGTGATTGACTTTATAGTAATTATCCTCAATGAAATAATATAAAACAGCAATGAAGCACGAACCTCGCTATTCATAACAATAGCTAAGAGAAAGAGAACCTACATTGGGATGCTGACATTGAAGTGCACATATTGATCCCCAAAAGAGTAAGAATTCCTAGTTTTGATCCCTGTAAAAATGAAAATAAAAAATATTAAGAAGAAAGGCATATAATGTAGTAAGATTACACAACTAAATTCTTATCCACTAAAAATTTATAAATATACAAAGAAGTTACTAGCATGTAATTAATATATTAACGAGTACAAAAATCAGTGCCCTGTACATTGCTCTCTTGTTGCTTTATTTTCATGTACTGCCAGTGCCACTCCCAATGGGCTACCAAGCAATTTTGACCTTGATGGAAAATTTTCTGGCTACACTCAGCCTAAAGATAAATTTGAAGCTTTGATGCCATTACTACACTTTCTTTTTTTTTCGGCAAAAGTTAGTTATTAGATTAACACCCTGAGAGAGTTGAAACCCCAACCTCACCCTTGCAAGCACGTAAGTGCTGCACCCATGCCACAAGGCCACAAGGCCATCGGCACCATTACTATACTCTTTGATGGTCATAAAAACAACAATCTCCATTATGTTTTTGGAACCCTAAAACATATTTGATGCCTTCTCCTACAAAGAAACTCATAACACCAATCCATTTGTATTAGCTATAAGCTTGACATTCAACGATGATCTTTAACATGTATTACTTCTGCCATCTATGTAGACGGACAGAAAAACAACACAGATGCTACATGACTATGGCAACATGAAGAGCTCCATAAAGCAAGGGCAAAAAAGCAGAGCAATATATTTACCTATACATTTTGATACAATACAAACACACAAATATGTGTATATAGTTGACAAGTGTGTGCATTTTTGTGGAAAATAAATAATAAGATTGATTTATCCAGTATCTATATTAGTATGGCCAGATGTATACATAAAGGAGGTGGCAGTATTAGTGTTGCTGCTCCTTTCCAATAATTGCCACATTCTCATTGGCAGGTTCGGTCACCATTATGGTTGTGTATCGGGCATTACACACTAGATAAATGCTAGTGAGACTAAAAGTCACCAGGCTTCCAGACATTTAATGCTGTTAGGACTCCCTTCTTAGGCCTGAGTGAGAAAACTAGGCACGGTTAGGACTCCCTTCTTAACCTTGTTGAATGTTTTGATTGAGGGGGAGGTCTCAGTAGCCAGTGTACCCTAATATCTGACACTAAATCTGTTTCAAGTGATAAAAGACTTTTGTACAGTTTTGTGTTGGCTGATCCCAATTTTAACCGCGGTGCAAAAAAATTAACTTGGTGGTCTATAAAGAGCGAATGTCCCAAACTATGCAACAAGGGCACTCAAAAACAGGTGCCGTAGAGGTGTCAAACACGGGATACGCTGGGGACATGAGGACACATACGTGTCCTTTTATGTAATTAATTTGTTTTCCAGCACCAGGGAGATGCCAACTAGTCTTTTTCCACCTCTATTGCTTTTGATGGATGCTGGATGTTATATGCTTACTATTTTTTGCTTAGATTGTAAATTTGTAATAAACTAATGATGCATTGGATGATAACTTCTTTGTCTAAAGGTTAACTCTTCTTTTTTTTTTGGATAAATAATCAAAATTTATTAGAAAAGCATCAAGACGATGTAAAGAATACAAAAAAACCAACCCACATAGGGCCCAACAACCCAACTACACAAAGCCTCTACAAAAGTAAACTCTTCTTGTATTTGTCTTTTTTATGGATGATTTATTAATTATTTAAATCTAGCAATTGTTTTTTATATTTAACTAGTGTTTTTGTTAATTTTGACGGTGGATGAAATCAGGGACCAACCCCTGATTGAAATAGTGGGGTATGTGGCACGTGGTATGAGAAGTGTAAGCCCACTAACTGAAGATGGTGCAGCCATTCAGGCCAAATGTGGGGCATAAGGAAGGTGGAAATCATGGAGAATATGGCTGCCAACCGCCATGGCCAAACTCTATAAAAGGAGAAATGAAGACGTAGAAAGGGTTCTGCATCGCAAACACATCGAAGCTCTATCAAATTTCCTTTCCAAATTACTTCCATACTTAACCCTAGCTCTGTCATTTCAATTCCAGTTTTATTTCAATTTCAGGTTTATTCATTGTATTCATTTACTTTTCCAAGCAATGATAATTATCTTTAGTTTATTTTTCAGCCATATTCTCCACATTTAATCTCAATGCTTGCTTCATTTTCATTGCAACTAGGAAATAGTTTTTAAGTAACAGCAGTTTTCCCTATAGACTGCACACAAGAATATAATAGGAGTTAGTCTCAGCACTTGGGGGCAAATCACAATTGGTCTGTACTCGGTCATGAGCAGGCATCTGTACTCGGTCATGACATGCGTGCTCGCACACGCCTTTAAGTGTTTTCACTCCTGAACAAGGAGGCCAGGTCTTCTCTTTGCATTTAACAGCATGAAAGAGTAAATTAAAAAGAAAGAAAACAGAAAAAAAAACACTCTTGCATATCATTTTTACCTTTTCTCTTCAAGACTACCTTCTGACCAGGTTGGGTTCCAGGGCGGACCTGCAAATCAAAACCAACAGAATCATGTCACTTGAGCATAAAAAACAGCAACATTATATTTATAAAAAATAAAAATAAATAAAAAAAAGCACGCAATAAATAAAAAATAAACCTTAAGAACAACATCTCCCGTTAGAGTTGGGACCTGGATGGTTCCTCCTAAAATTGCCTGCAACAGAGTAAATTCGCAGACATCATTCATTAAATGAAAAAAAATTCTATGAAGGGAACTGGACAAGAAACTGCAGAAGAGCTCATAAACCAGGGACAAGAAACAGTCATAACTTGCACAAAAGCTTGTACACTTGAAATAACTTCTTTTTTCGTGTTTACCACATAAAAACACCAAAAAGAAAAAAAGAAAAAAAAAAGTAGAGGCAAACAAAATAAGCACACATCAGTAATGACTTGCACAACCCATGTTTAATGAAGTGAGGTAGTGAACGTGGGCTACTGATGCAAATCTATTTCATTTACAAATTTGATTAAGTTTAATTTATCTTAATGTTGTTCCAATTTAACAACTGCCAACTTAATTTTTTTTCCCTTCAAAGACAGGAATGGGGAATGGGATTGGGATTGCAGCTCTCAATTGGAGATTCCCACCAAACAATGCCCCCTAAGACAACTAACATATCTCTCAGTCAAAAGGAATGATTTAACTATGTCTTCGCAAAAAGCACAAAAACCTTAAAATGTAACAACTTCCAAGAAATCTCATCAAGCAAGCAATGCCTAAGTTTTCTTTTGCGGTTATGGTAATAGAGAAGTAATTACCTGAGTGATACCCAATACAGCATCAACATGAATGTCTGGTCCTTCTCGTCGGAAAACAGGATCTTCCCGGACCTTGAAGAAATATTAAGTAATAAATTCTGAGTACAGATGTGCATCCTAACAAAACAATATCGTAGTAGTAAGAGTACAGGTGGCAGTAGAACTTATGTAAGGTACCTTGATAGTAACATAAAGATCACCAGCTTGATTGCCATCAGGATCTGCTCCACCACTCCTAGACACCTTCATAGTTTCATTATCATCTACTCCTGCAGATGACACAATAAACACAATGAAGTCCAGAAACATCCATGGCATAAACAAATAAAGGCCTAAACAAAAGAAGAAAAACAAGCAGAAAGCCACATCCCACAACAATGTATTCCCCCTCCCAACCTGAAAGGTGCTCAAGGACAATAGAAGCGAACCCTAATTGGGCAGTCATGAACTCATGGACAGCCTCCCAACTTACCCAGCATCAGCAGTCATGGTGGACCTCCCACAATCCATCTAATATCCAATTCTCCATCCTATATTCCTGATGAGATCAATAATTTCTCTCATCATAGAGGTGTGTATAACCATGATCCCATGAACTGCCTCCAAATACCTAACAAAACTGGAATACTAGTTGGTTTTTTTCCTTTTCATTTATTTGAATTTCATGGAAAACAAAACCAAAACATGTCAGAAACCACAACACTATCTTCCTCTTATGTGGAATGTGACATTGAAATTTTATTTATTTTGTAATTTTATATTTATGTTTTATAGATAGTTTAATTAGGATCTTAGTATACTTATTTTATTAGAGATTAAGTTTCTAAATAATGTTATGATTTAGTTTCCTATTTTAAATTAGGTTTTCTATATAAATATTAGGTTTTGCATTGTAATAGTTTTAGTTTAGTTTTGAATAATGAGATATTGAGTAAGCTGTTGCCAAGGTTGTTAAAATCGGGATCCTAAGTAAAATCAGTGAGAGGGTCTGGTGGATCGGATCGAGGATCGTATGATCCTGCTTTCTATTAAAAAAAAAGATAAAAATTAAAATTAAAATGATACATATTAAAAATAAGGTGAAAAATCATAAAATCTACGATCCTACTTGCGATCCTACCTACGATCCCATACGATCCTACACGATCCCATGCGATCCTACAACGATCTGGATCGTTTTGGCATAGTAGGATCGTAGGATCGTACGATCCGGATCGCGATTTTAACAACCATGGCTGTTGCCATTGTGAGATTAGGGTTGTGGCCCTTGTGTTCTTCTTCCTCCTTTCTCCTCTTCTTCATGATTTTTTGCCCTTCCCTTTCAGAGCAATTCTCCATATATTCGGGTTTTGGGATTAATTGAATAGTTGAACGAAGACTTTAATAGTTGTTCTGCATTATCCTCTCTTCTAGTTAGGACAGCAAACTACTAAATTAGTTTCCTAAAATTTCTTAAAAGATTTTTAATGCTTAAAGTAAATAAGGACAAGAGTTCCATAGCGAGCATTAATGCTAGAGAAGATCTTTGAGTAAGTTAGCAAGTTTATTTGGTCATGTCATTAGTGAGTGGCACATCCCTGATAAGAAGGCTTCTATATCTGGAATACTATGGTTAAGAAAATGGGAAGATCATTTCTCTTTTTAGGGTGTTATGCAGTCCACACATGACGGAGTGAAACGTAGGAAAACTTTAAAAATTGCACAACTTCAAAGCAATATTGAAACTATGCTTACTCGAGCTTTTAGTTTTAGCAGTCTTACTTTATGATTATTTAGCCTATGTCCAGGAATCACAAAGACTGATATGGTATGAACATTACATATAGATATGGACACGGACATGGACATTGACAACGGCAGGGATGTGAAAAACAAAAAACTGAGCACTAACACTTCAAAAGAAGTGTCGTGTCCCAATTCAACACGAATTGGACACTGACACGCCGCGTGGCATGTCAATTTTTTAATCATTATTTTTAGGGCACCTTAGGGACACTTCATGGACACGTGTCAGAACATCATTGTTGAATTTTTTTTTTCCCCTAATAATTTTAGAAAGCTTGTTAGGGGTGAAACTAGAATCTAAAATATATAGAAACAAAGAAAGGGAAGAAAAAAATAAGGAAAGACGTAAAAATACACCCACATACATTAATGCCTCTTATGTGTCCTAAACTTATATCCATATACATATATATATATATATTGTCGTTATTCCAGCGCCTTGTCTGTATCTTAATTTTTTCAAAATTGTCGTGTCCCGTCTGTGTTTCCCATCTGTGTTTCCCATCTGTGTCTGTGCTTGTTTTTCTCAGAAAAAATATTTTTATTTGTTACCTATATAAATATTATATCCATAAACATTTAAAATTAATGAAAAGTAACTCTAAGTTAACATAAAAAGCAATCTATCAGCTAGAGATTAAATTGTGTTGTATTGTCAATGTTTTGTTATGAGCTCTATTTTTTCAAAAAAAAAAAAAAGAAAAGAAAAAATTTAACCGTCAAATTCAAAATATTATAATATGACCTTTGAAATTAGCTTTGAAAAATTAAAATCAGACATCACCATGTCCTGAAACGTGTCCCCTGAAATTTTTTATATTTGTTAAGTGAACACACCATATTGTGTGTCTCATACAAAAGTAACTCTAAGTTAACATAAAAAGCAATCTATCAGCTAGAGATTAAATTGTGTTGTATTGTCAATGTTTTGTTATGAGCTCTATTTTTTCAAAAAAAAAAAAAAGAAAAGAAAAAATTTAACCGTCAAATTCAAAATATTATAATATGACCTTTGAAATTAGCTTTGAAAAATTAAAATAAGACATCACCATGTCCTGAAACGTGTCCCCTGAAATTTTTTATATTTGTTAAGTGAACACACCATATTGTGTCTCATACATGTCCTTGCATGACTCTGTCCCATACGTGTCCAATATGGCTACAATACCAATTTTGAAGTGTCGGTGCTACGTAGGTCTAGGCATTAAAATGGTTAATTTAATACTCCCTCTGTCCCAAAATATTAGTCCCTTGTTCCATTTTTCGTTGTCTCAAAATATTAGTCCCTTTTAAAAAATCAAGTATAAAAATAATATAAATTTCCTATTTTGCCCTTCTTTTAAATTCATTAACAACATAAAAAATATAATTATGACATTGATATTCTCCAAAAAAATGTACTATCAAAGGGTAATTTTGGAAAATTAATTTTTTTAACATGCAATAATTGTACTACCAAAAAAAGTTGGATTTTCCAAAAGGGACCATTATTTTGGGACGGAGGGAGATTTTAAGGAACTACTAACCACCATTATTCACTGTCTCCTCTCTTTTAGCCTTTTGCAAACACTAATTATCCTGACTGGGACATACACATAGCACATAGGGGTATTAGCTCTCTGCAAATAACTTCGGAGGTTTTCATACAGGTGCAACAACCAAAGATACCCTAGAGTGGTGCTAACGTGACAAATTCTTGAAGTGTTACTCTCTCTAACATACCACCATCTCACAGCAAATAAACTGCAAAATTGATGCAGGCCCCAAAAATTGCTTGCACAACTTCAGCAGAAAGTTTCATAATGGACAAGGAACCGAAATGGGGTTCAAGTCTTTCTTGTTTCTAATCGATTTCTGTCAAAAAAGAACAATTTGAGTAGAAAGCCCCTTTCTTTTTTCTTTTTCCATTTTTTTTTTTTTTTTTTTTTTTTTTTTTTTTTTCCTTTTTTTTTTTTTTTTTTTTTTTTTTTTGTGGAAAAGAATATGGTTTTATGTTGTTTCATATTGTACAATTCTATTCTTTGTTGCGTCATTTTCCCACGAGAGGTAATGAGAAGAAATATAAAATGGATTGCTAGCTATGCCTAGATCGCGGATAAATGGATAGGGTCTTAACAAAAGAATTCCTATTAATAATAAACAAAACATAGTAATGCCACATTACGCACAAACACAAATCAACGAAAAAGAAATAGGAAAAAAGAAGATTCAAGAGGCTTGTAAGGAGGATTATTGGCCAATCAAATAATAGATAGTAAATGGGTCGGTTTAAAAATAAATGAGAATATTATTCTTGTCTGAATTTTGTTTTTCCCTTGCTGTAATAATATCTTGGGGTTCACAACAATAACTTGGTATGTATACTATACGACCATTAACTAAAATATTGCAAGGGAAATAGCACCTACCTGCCCCAAGGCGGGATTAAGAATAATTGCAGGGACAGCTCTAGATAATTCAGAAATAATAACACAAACCAAACTTAGCGCAAATTATCATACACCCAGTCCTCTAGTTAGAACACAAATACAATAACAAAAATACATGAAGGGATGAAATCGCAAAAAAATTGATTTAATAAAGTAGCTTGATAATCCAGATTCCTAACATTATTCAATTGTTTAACACACACATATATGCATGTAACTACTTCCCACTTTGCCTGTTCTTCACAGCACTTCAAGGGGAAATTCTACTTGCGCTACCAATTTACTCTTTACATGCTCAAAACCCTAAGCCTAATTCTCCCTCAGCATCACCTCCAACCACCATCTTCACTGCTGCAGTCACTACTCACCGGTGCAGCCGCCTCACCGCCGCAGCCACCACCACCTTCTTCCCCAAACCTAACTGTAGAAATTTAATGTATAAAGAGAAATAGAGAATTGTATTATTGATTGATATTTGTTGAATGTTACAATGATTCCTATATATAGAAGAATAGGTGGTAGTAGGTGGTAGATGGAGTAGGTAAAGTGGAGGTGGTAGGTGGAGTAGGTGAAGTGGAGGTGGTAGTGGTGTAGTGGGTTAGGTTTAGTGGAGTGTGTGGTGAAGTGGAGGTAGGTGAAGTGGAGTGTGTAGTGGAGTAGGTGAAGGTAAAGATGGGAAATTCTAACACTAACCCTAATTTCAATTGGTGATGATGGTTGCGCCGGTGAGCAACGGAGAGAGTAAGGGCCGCAACAATGGCGAGGACCATCTAGATCTAAAACTTCTCTCTCTCTCTCTCTTGCTCACTCGAGCGCATGATAGTGGGTGAGACACAGTGGCAGAGGAAGAAAGTGGAAAGGGAGACGCAACGGGTGTGCTAGGAAGGCAATCGCAACGGTGGGAGGGGCTCACGGTGGTCGGAGATGGCGGTTCTTTTTCTTCTTTCAAATCTGAAAACCCTAGGTTTTCATCTCTCTCTCTCTCTCTCTCAATGGGGTCACGGTGGTGGAGCGCCGAAGTGCGGGCTGGTTGCAGCAGTGAGGGGCTGCGAAGGTGGTGGTCATGATGGTGGTGATGGTTGCAGTGAGGCGATGGAGAGGGGGTGGCTCTGGCGGCAGGATGGTGGTCGGAGGTGATGGTGGTGGGTGTTAGGATTTTTTTGGTTTTGGGTCTAAGGAGAAGGATAAAGGTTAGGATGAGGGTAATGAAGGAATTACAGCAATTATAAAAATAAAAATAAAAATAAAAAATTTGGTGGTGCAAGTAGAATTTCCCTACTTCAAGTCAGGTTCAAATAAAAGGGATATTCAGGCAGCTCTTGAATAAGCTTCCGATCAAAATAATTCATACAAGTTCTGGCATTAGTCATTTAAACTCCCTTTATTAGAGCTCTCACTAACATTTGACAAACACAGGTTGTTCTGTTAAATTCTGAAACGTCAACGGACATCTCGGAAAGAATTAAACACTGGAAGTCAGTCCAGTTTTGCCAATTTGTTAGATTAAAACAAAACTGAAAAATGTAGAAATCCCCTAGATGTAGAAATCCCCTAGATGTTGATTTGTGATTATGTATCAATTTTAAGCAGAATATAACAATCCCAATCAAACAATCAAACAATCAAGACAAAGAGACACAACGATTTAACGTGGAAAAAAACCACAATTGGACACCTCCAACTGTGATCAAAAAACCACGGGCAACAGCCACAAGACAATCCACTAAGAAGAATTAAAGGAATTACACAGGTATACTCTCAATTACCTAGCGAATCCACAACGCCTAATTGAACCAACCTTTAAGTGCCTCTTCCAACCCTGTCTTCACCTCGGAATTGTCTTTACGATGAGCCACTCCGGAATCCACCAAAGCTTCAGGCTCGAATTCTTCAGAATCCACCGAAGAACAACTTTCTCTCTTTTGTGTATAACAAACCAAACCTTTGATGTACTCTTTTTAAACCATGAGTTGAATACTCAATAAAAACATCAAAGAAACTAACAAAATATCTTCAGATATAAACCTTAAGATCCAAAAAGAAGATCTGGAGAGATCCCTCTAGTGTTGGGAGAAAACCAACTATTTATAGAAAACCAAAGCAATCCTAGTTTCAGAAGAAAACCAACTCCTTAACAAATTTGGAAATCTGGGATCACGCGATCCGCTCGAGCGCCTTTTTCCCCGCTCGAGCGGAGACTTCAAATTCTGTGATTTCATACAGGCTCCACGCTCGAGCGTCGGTTTTGACGCTCGAGCGGCAAATCACACCATCCAGTACTTTTTCAGGCGATTGCAGAGATACTGTGAGCTCGCAAACCCCGCTCGAGCGTCCTTTTCCCCGCTCGAGCGGGAAGGCCAAAACTGGAAAAATATAACATGATCGGACAGGCAACTTTGAATGCATTTTTGCATTTTGCTTCGGGCCGCGAGCTGACCGGGCAGCTCGACCCCCGTAAAAATCAGCGAAGTGGCAATCTTGAAAATATTTGCATCACAAACTTCCCTGAAAGGCTCAATTCGGGTTGGATTTCGCATCTAAACACTCATAGCCTCACTGAAATAAAAGTGCGAAAATAAATACAACTGAAAGGAGTTTTGTCAAACATGATTGCCAATAAATAAAACCTAACAAAAACCATTGACAACATATGAACCTACTCAAAATACCTGGCATGATATCCAGCTTGACAGTCTTTGGTCCTCTAACTGTTTTCTCTCCATTGCAAGACTTGCAAAAGTTCTGTATTCAACCCATATTGATATGCCATTTGTAAGATAACTACATCAATATATCAATCTAGTAAACAGAAAATGAACAAAAAATTTGTATAAAATGACCATTATACTTCACAAAGATAACTTAAGTAGAAGAGATGCCAATTGCGTATAAATGACATCTAGAGTATAAGAATCCAATAAAAGGTCTTGCAGTGAAATGTTTTAACATGCCACAGACCAGCTATGGATCAATACGTTTATGTTAGTTTTGGCAACAAGGTTCAGAAAAGCATCAAGCAGTAATCTGATGTAGTGAGAACTGGACTGCGACATTGTCTCTACTTATTGTGAAGGTCAATTCAAACATTGCTGATACTGACGGGCAGTAAAATTCGACATTAATGTTTTGCATAGCAACCATCAAAGGAACAACTTACTCCCTCAAAATAAGAAACTTCAATGAAATCATAAACCACTCACAACGGCAATTGATAAGAACCCTTCTTTATTTTACACTCATCCTGCCTAAACATTTCAGGTCAAAACTTTGCCCCCACCCCAAATGCATGCATTTTTAATTCATCCCAGAATCAACTGGGACATCCTTCTTATGTTGCAATTTTTGCTTGATGTTTTTCATAAATTCAAAGATTACTGTCATATTAGGATCAACAGATGGCATGAATTCTAGACCTCGTTACCTATACCACTCTCAACAGACATAGGACAAAGATCAAAAGATATAGATGAAGAGAAGCTCTAGCTGTGAGAAAATTCAATGCTCGTTAGTATTTCTTGTCACATTTTAAGAGATAAAAAGCTAATGAACCTCCTCATTTTTTCCCTCCAAATAGTAGAACAACTAACTATTATTAACATTGTATCATACCAAAGCATTAATTTGGTAAGTGAAGCAAAAGAAATTCTACACCCATCAAAGTGCCTACAGATCCTTCTGGTTTACCAACCCTGAAAAATGTTTACTACAAAAAACATACAGTGGCGTAATCCATTTCATTAAATTCAACAAAATATATAGCTGCACAGCATATCCCCAAGACGTAGGTAAGGAAAGCATCAGAATTATCAACAAAAATTGTACACTACGCCCAAAAACACAAAATAATAAAAGTTCTTTATCATACCTTAACAATTTTCCCAGTTCCATGACAATAAGAACACGTAATCTGGACCCTGAATGGGCCAGTTGACTTGTTAATCTGAAATTTGCAAAAACTAGGTGTTATCTACAGACATTCACTATGTTATAATACGATTAGAAACATGGATGTCAGAAAACAGACCATGCCTGAGCCTCTACAGGTCCTGCAAGTTTCAGGCCTGGTTCCAGGAGGAACACCAGCTCCACCTGAAAAATAAAATAACAAAATCAAGAAACTTTATGATGGGCCAGTTATTAAGCTAAATTACCATCCATCCATAAAAAAAAGAAAAAGAAAAACAATGAAGAAAAGTTATGGGGAAATTACAAGAAAAACCCCGGAGTTTGACTATTGTAACAAAATAAACCTTGAATTTTTTATTTTGTCACTTTAAACCCTAAAGTTTTTATTTGTTTTCAACCTGAATAATTTGCCTATTTTCGTCAAGTAAAATCAATTAAAGAATAGATATTTTAATCATTAAACTCAATGAAAATGAGTATTTTAGACATTTTATGAATGCCTACATTGAGCTTAATGACTAAAATACAGTTTTTTTAATTGATTTTAGTTTACAAAAATAGGCAATTGGTTTAAATTGAAAACAAATAAAAATATTAGGATTTAAACTAATAAAATTAAAAATTATGGGTTTATTTTGTTACGAGGGTCAAACCCTAAAGTTTTTGGGTAATTGTCCCAAAAGTTATTTACTACTAAAATGTGCTAAAATGTCTATTGACAAAGAAACATAATTGCAGAGACATCAAGTTCAGAGAATACGGCCATACCACAAGCTTCACAAGGCAAATCAGTTTGGAACGTCAGCGTTTTGGTGCATCCCTGAACAGCTTCCATAAAGGACAATTCAACTGAAACCTATGCTTGATCAATAAAAGACAAAAAGTTTGTCAAATAACAAACTCTAGCACACAAAAACAAAATCACCAACACTGAAGGATAAGATAAGAACCTTGACATCTTTGCCGCCCATGCCCCTATTAAAGATTGTATTGAAGATCTGATCTCCATTGAAGAGAATGCCACCATATGCACCATTGCACAAGGAAAAAGACAAATAAGTTTCAAAAGTCAACAAGATATTATGGAGAGAAATGCTGATATATATATATATATAAACCAAGGATTAGAGCATGATATAAATTCTATGCCACAATCAGCATACATAAAATACAGAATTTGGAACATTGAACACAACACCACGAGCAATGAATCAACAGACAGAAGCTGGAAGCAATAAAGTCAGCTGGAAAAACAGATTTAGGACAAATTCTATAATCAGCATCTTATTGTGCAGTGTCTTTAACAGCATGCATGACAAATGCAAGAGAAAAATCCTGAGATCCAGACAATATATAATATATTACTATTACTAATATTTTTCTAACTCTCTCTGACCAATAATACTCAAAGCTCTGATTTACATCCTACAAGGGAGGAAAACAAGAGTGAATAGGAATGGGTGATATAATTGTGACAAAAAAAAAGGATAAACTCTAATAGACTTGTATGCAAATATGCATGCAACTAATTCCACTTGGCAAAATAACATCAACAAAACCAAAATGCCACATTAGCTGTGAAAATTTAAATTTTAAAAGGCTAATCATAGCTATATAACATATCATAATTTAAAGATGATGTCACAGACAACAAGATAAATGCAGAAACACAAATTGATATTCAACATATTCTGCAAAAAAAAAAAATGGTACTTTGAGAACTACCACCACCAGGGGAATAGCCAAGTTATTTGTTGCAAGGAAGAATTAATTTGCCAATGAACATAAATTCTTTGGGCATTGAAAAGTTTTCCAAAATTGGACAATACAAATTAAGTAACATGATCCTGGTTCTTCTTTGTCAACTGAACTCCTTAAATTCAACAGAAAAACCAAGGAACAAATTTCTTTAATAGATAAAACCCTTCAATAGGTCCCTAAAAGGCTAAAACAACACAAATAAAATAAATAAAATAAGAACAAGTATCTATTGAGGTCCTATGACCAATTTATAATCGTTTTAGGGCCTTCATAAAAGGGTACGTTTGACTTTGCAAACGCTACCTGTGAGCACTGCTGCTATCAGGTGCATCTAAAACTAGAATTACTTCCAATTGAGAACTTCTCGCATGGCATGGTCAAGCCATGTCGACGGTAGTGCTGCTTTTGGGGTAACTTTGGGTGCAGCCTCTCCATAAAAACCTCAACTACTTCCAGTAGTATCCTCCACTACTCCTCTACACAAAACCAAATTACATCTAACAGAACAAAAGCAATACTGTCGTATTACATAAAACTAGGCTTCCCACCTAAGCACCAAAAGAATATACACCAGACCTCTTCATTCCCCGTAACACTTAACTCTAAGCATCATCAATGGAGCAAATTTGTGCCTAAAATTTCAATTTTCCCAAAAGATATCAGCTCTACTAATTTGACATCTCTGAACAACTTCAAATTCTCAACATCCCATCACAGATACAAGAAAATTCAAGTTTTTCAATAGGTGGAGAGAAACCACAAAATGATACAGTTCTGTATCAGAACAAACTTGAAGAAAAACAAAATAATACTTACATTGTCAGTATTGAAGATGTCAGTAAATGGATTGAAATCAGGGCCCCATTGACCACCACCCATGCCACCACCATTAGCACCATGTTCATATGTTTCATGGCCAAGCTACAAGATTATGCATATGCACAACATAAGTATGAAAATAACTGAGAGAAGAAAAACTTAGATGTGAAAATTATTAAAATAATAACAATAAAAAAACCAATGACAATATATATATATATATATAGAGAGAGAGAGAGATTTCACTAATCTAACTTTTGCTGCTAACTATATTAGACTAGCCTTACAAGATGTGAATGCAAAAACAATTGATCTATCCAATAAAATATCATAAGGAACGGAAAATATCTTGTCTTGCTCAGCATGAAAAGTAAAGTTGTCATGAAGTTTAACCAAACAAACCAATAAACAAGACCATGTAACTCGTTGAAGAAGGCTATATATGCATAAAAAGTGCCAACAATATATAAGAGAGCCAAAAAATGTAGAGAGAGAGAGATGCACAATGTTGAACTATTCTAAGCTTTTATTCACAAACTATAGTTTTATGGTCTTAAGTTTTTAATAAGCATAGTTGTTTCTATACATAATAATGATCACATGGTAATTTTAAGCACAAAAGTAAATATGGATAAAAATCTCTGCAACAGGAGGGATAAAAATTTATGATGGCAAAGGGTGGAAAGGCTCAATTTCACATGCTCCATCAGTTATGTGGCTTTTGGTGTACTGGTCAGATTCAAAATATCTACCATAAAAAAGCATGCCACATTTCAGGTTCAAGCAAGGTAGAGGGTTGCCTAAGAGAGAGCACCTTGACTAGTACAAGTGACATCTTATAGGATAAAAAGGCACCTACCAGCACAGGAAAGACACCTAAAGTAGAAGTGCAACCAAAAAACCACCTAGGGCAGGCAGCAAAATCAGAGCCAATCCCAAAGGGAAAAGTACTGCATGTCGGCAAACAAGAGAAAGAGCTAACAGTGAAAGCAAAATAGCATTTTGATCTTTTATGATCCCAAAAGATTAAAGAGCTGAAATTTACGCATTCTATTTGTCTTCCGCTTCTTGGTGCAATGGTAAGGCTCACGACATTAAGGCTGTCTAAAAATTTTCAAGATGTGTGAACCAAATTAAGACATTTCCAACTTCCAGAGCAAGCAAAATTTATTTCTAGGAACCTGAGAATTTCAAATTAAAATAATTATAACAGATTTAAATCAAGACATAGTTACTACTAATTAAAGCTACTTGAGGATTGGGTAGCTTTTCTTCAATAAGGTAATCTCACAAAAAGAAGCATCAAAAGGGCATGCCTACCCATTTTATAGAAGGTTAACTATGATAACCTTAGCCACACTAACACAAGGAAGCATTTACACTCGAAAGACAAAAGAGACCTAAATTCTTACAAGTAAAAAGAACCCACTAAATCTACAAATTAGTCAAGCATTCGAAAAACCTTATCTGACAACCAACTTAACAAAATGGACAAGAGGAATATCTTGACCCTATGCAAAGTTCCTCTACAACTTGAAAAATTCATAATGGTTTGCTCTATCCACAATAGTCACATCAGACATGAAAGAGCTAGCCACTAGCCCACCACCCCATTTGCCACCACCCCACAACCACAACATAGACCCTACCACATCCTTGTGAAACACCCACTCCATTCCAAACAATACCCCACAAGCCGCCGGCCACGTTACAGTAAATAAGCAAATAGACTTATTCATCATCACACTTACATATACAACACCAATTAACGATAACGAACCGCCTCCTAATTAGATTATAAATGGTAAAAATCCTCTCATGGGTTGCATTCTACACAAAAAATGCCACTTTCGATATAGCCCCGACAGTCCAAATGTCTTTTCAAGTGAAGCACAACCTTCAACTTCCTAACAAAGCCAATAAAAGACTTTGCACCAAACCTCCCTTTCTCAGCTACAAGCATTCAAGCCATCTCAATGAATCCTAGCCTTCACAAAAAAAACCCTAACCCCCAAAAAGAAAGTAGAGCAAATCGATCAACTACTCCATCACCCAATCTTGCACATTCCTTCTTAGCCTAACATCCCAAAACACATCATTATCTACACTCCAAATATAGGTTTCCATTAAGTCTTCTTTATCCATGGAAAGATAAAAAATAGAAGGAAAATCAATATAAAGCATCACACAATACCTATGGAGAAGAAAGCCAAAACTTCACCCTTTCTCACCTTAAAGAAGCAAGAAACTGTGGAGAAGTCCTCCGATACTTGATTCACGCCGTTCCAAAGCCCTCTATCATGGGACATATAGTCACCTCTAAAGTAGTACAATTCCAATCTTAGTTCAACATCCCAGAACATTGTCAATATCACCCACTACCACATTTGGTCATCAACCCTCTAGAATCTATCCCTCACATGCATATTTTCACAACACTCATATACCTTTTCAATGTTCAATTTACAAATCACCCCAACCTTCCTACTCCTCAGTTTGGAATCCATGCACTCATTAGCCACAAGAACTACATAACAAACACATTTTGAGACTTTGAAATCAACACATTCAACACCTCGCTCAAATAGATCATTAAAGTTTTTGCCAATCACTTATAGGCACCACCCAACAAGCTAATAGATTTGAAATTTCTAACAATCTCCACACCTTATTTCATTGGAATCAGAGCTTCAATTGATGCATTAGCCACTTTTCACACGTACCATTCTCATCAAAGAAATTCACCATCCCCATACTTCTTCTCTCACCACACTCCAACATTTAACCGCATATTAGGTAGCTTTGGGCACACCTAACTTGATTTTAAACCCCACTAATAAAAAACGGCTATGCTTATGTGTAGTTAGTGACAAAGATTTTACCAGAGGTTTGTAGAGGATTTCAATTTTTTCCCTTTTTTTTAGAGCTAGATATTTCATCCACTCCTCTTTTCTTCCAAGTTTAAGAGATTTTTTATTCCCGCCAGTTCTGCCAGATTTTTAGGCCTTGATTTTAAGCCCCATAGCATATAGCACATAATTTCTAAGTCTTTCTTGCTGGAAATTGTACAAATCAGACATAAGGCCAGAGTTACAAGCTTTCATTTTCTAATTTGATTTTTTTAGGTCCACACCAAAGCAATTATATCCATCCAAAAGGCCAGAGTTACAAGTTATTGGGTTTTTAATTCAATATTTTTAGGTCCAAAGCAATTATATCCAGACAAGAGTATACATATATACATACACAAAGACATGACACAGATACATATCAATATATCAATTCACACAAGTAATTCCTAGTGTCCCTGCTTGTTGACATGAAGTAAGGACTTGCACAATAAGATAAAAGGTGGATTGGACATCAAGTCATCCCCTATTCACTACCAATCCCAGCTGCTCGAACATGTATCATTAAAGCAACAGCACAGTTAACTGCTACAACATATCTGTCACCTTTCCAATACACTGGACGAAATATAGGATGGATTTCCAGAACACATTGGTTAATGCCTAAAATAATGAACTCCTGGTTCACTACAAAGACTTGATGCAATACAAGATAGCTTTATGAATAACCTACTTAGGTTAATCTTCAAAGTATGCCATCATTTGAAAAAATAAGACAAGAAATTTGTGAGACCTGATCATACTGTGCACGTTTTTCTTCATCTTTCAAAACCTACAACAATACCACCAAAAAAAAATATATTTTAGTACATTCAATGAGTATATATCAACATTCCAGAACTGAAAACTAGCCGAACTAATAAGTACCTCATATGCCTTTTGGACTTCTTGAAATTTCTTTTCAGCTTCAGGATCATGTTTATTTGTATCTGGATGCAACTGCTTTGCAAGCTGGAGAATGATGACAACAATATGAAAAATTGGAAAACAAATGGATGGAAAACCAAACAAAATTCTACAAGCTTCATTTGGAAGTAAACGTTTGACGTTCACTTCCATATGCAATGAATCAACATAGCATATTTGAACATTTTGAAACGTGAAACTGTATTGTTATAGCAAAAGACGAGGAAGAATGCATACCCCGTAATAAGCTTTCTTGATTTCAGATGCAGTTGCATTCTTATTCACACCAAGTGTGTCATAATAATCTCTGGCAGCCATAAAACCTGATCACAGAAAAATAAACACAAAGTCAAATTCTTTGAGTGACTCTCATTTTCTAGTGTCTTAGTTTCAAATAAATGAACACAACTAGTTCAATTAGGTGCATAAAATTCACTACAGAAAAGTATATGCTTTCCATGGTACCAAGAAACAACATGAAGTAAATACCAGTGCCATGAATTGATCTTGCAGTGCCGGCCCCAAAATTCGATTTCAATACTCCGATTCGCAACCAGCTTCTATTATTAACTGCTACTTGAAACACAACAATCAATACTAAACTTTAAGGGGGGAAAGGGAAAAAGATTACAACTTTGCCAGTAATTATCCAAAAAAAACAAAAATAAAATAAAAGGTGTAATATATAAGTAAAGCCCAAACAAGACAACAACAAAATACCATTTCTAGAATTGAAACTTGCAAGAACCCTAGGTTGGTTGAAGATGGCCGAGCCGTATTTCCTATAACCCCCTCGCAACAACGATTCATATATCTGCGGACAATTGACCAGGAATGAGTATATACATATACACGTACAGCGAGAGACACAGAGAGAGAGGTGCATACGGCAATTGGGGAATCTTGGAAGGCGTTGCGAGAGAGAGAGCGGCCAGCGAACCAGTGGACGAGTCTGACGCCATTGGAGCGGACCATTGGAGCTCTTTGGGGATGTTAGGGTTGTTGAATTGCGAGAACGGAGGCGTTGTTTGGGTGGTCGTTTTTATTACTGGGTATTCAAATCCATTTAAACCCTAAATAAACCCTAAATATAGCTTCAGGGTTTGGGAAAGAATAACAGAGCCACCAAGCTTGTGTGTTTATTAGAGGTTCTTGTGAGCACCGTTTGAATGGAAAGGTTCGATTTATTTAAGGCCTGTTTGGTTAGTTTCCACTCCATGAGTGAAGCTCCTTTGTGGGACAGAACATCGAGGAGTTTTATCTGTTTCAAATTTGTTTATCCTTTGTGTGTCTTTCGGAAATTGTTAATTTAGTAGGTTATTTTAGTGTTTGATTATTTTAATAGATTAAAATTTTTGTAATTTAAGAAGATAGTTAAATTTTTTTATAATTAGATGTGATATTTGTGAGATAAAAAGTAAAATGATTATAGGTTTAATGAGACATTTTGTCTTATTAACTATTTTAACATATTTTGTCATTTTGTAAATTTTAGTCCAAAAAGCTAAAAAATAGCCTTTGCTAGACATAAATGGTAGCAGTCGTTCAGCTCAATCAGTATTGAAAATATGTTTAGTACCGAATCAATCTTTTTAGTTTTTGTTGTTAAGAAACTGATACAAATCATATGTTACGGTTCGATTTGTTGATGTGATGTATAAAAAAAATTTGCATAAAATTTTAAAGGGTTCTATAATGGATTATAAAATTTTATATTGAAAATACATGAAGAAAATATATGAAAATTGCTCTATAAATATTTTTCTTCTTTTTTTTTTTATCAAAAAAGTGTATTGGGATTTTTATCGATAAATCTCATTTAGAAGTATTCTAACCCAAGAAATTCATGAAGGAATTTTTTAACCCACTTAATCCCATGTATTTATACTTTTATTTCATAAAGTCATTTTTCTTAATTTATATTATTTTCTTAAACTCTTAATGTTGGAGGGAGGAGAGAGAAGGAAAAGGACCAAGGCATAAGAAATTTCACACACAAATTAAATAACATTGATATTATTATTTTATGTTATTATATAATGTGAATATATTTTTAATTGACAACATATTAAAAATTATAGCGATCTCGGTTTTACTCCGACTTTCATTGTGTTCCGAACTCGGATTTCGTGATTGTATAATGTTGTCTATGTCTTGTTTCCTTCCTTTAACTCTTTGTATTTTGCGTGTTTGGAACAGGTTGGTTGTTAGTTGATCTAGAATGTTGTTGCCCAGATTTTGGCTTCTTCGCTCGAGCGAGCCTTGTGTAATCTGCGTCGTCGCTTGAGCGAGGCTTCTTGCGCTCGAACGAGCCTTGTGAAATTGTTTCTTCGCTCGAGCGAGACTTTTTGCGATCGAGCGTGCGTCTGCATTGGTAGCAGACCTGAAGCTTTGCATTCTACGCTCAAGCGACGCTTCTTGCACTCGAGGGAAGCGACCTTTTTGTGTCTGGTCGCTCGAGCGAGCCTGTTCATATCATATCGTGAATGAGACATTTCAGAACACTTTTGGCAGCTCACTTTCTCTCTAAAACTCTCCAAGAACGCAGGTTCTCATACTCTCTCTCTAGAAACCATCTTCTCTATTTGATTTCTCCAAATCCATTGGGATTTTGGCCATAGTTTCTTCGTCAAGGTTGTGTAACTTCTCGAGGGCTTCGTTGTGTGCGGTGGAGATTGAGTTTCATCGTCGTTGATTTTGGGGGTTTCAACTCTTTTCTTCTTTAAACTTAAGGTAGGGATTTTCTTTGAGTTATATATATGTTTTTGCAAGATCTAGATGATTTTGAAATCATCCTTTGATTTGCTTTGAAAATGGGTAGTTGATTCAAGAAGATAGTAATTTTTGAAAGTGAGTTTACTTTATTGTTTCCTTCAAAATATAAATTGAGAGTTTTGAACTATGTTGATTGAAGAAAGATGATTTTTGTGAGATTTTTCTCAATTGTTTGAAGATGGATGGTTTTGGTGAGAAAACCTAGAAATTGGGGGGTTTTTTAAAAAGAAGTTGAAAATCCATGGTTGATATTGTTATACTTATTTTGAATGCCCAAAATAAGTGATGTTTGGAAAATTTCTTATTTATATTGTATAAATGATAAATTTTGAGAAATATGAGAGTTGTTGTTCATTTTGAAAATTGTTATTCAAAATATTGATTTAGTCTTGAAATAGCTAATTTGTTGAAAATGCTCGAAATATGGAAGATGTGTTATTCCTTGGATGAATTGAAATAAATGTATATTTATTCATCTTGTAAAATTGCATGGAAATGAGAAATGAGAATTTTGATCACAATCATAGCATTGTGTGGAAGAATTGGAAATGAAAGAATTGTTGCATTGGCATATCGATTCATTTGATTATATTAAATTTTGAAAGTTGATTTGAAAACTTGCATTGAAAAAGGAATGTTAAGGAGCAAGTTTTCATGAAATGGTTTTGGGGTAAATACAGTGGTAAGTCTTGAAAGGTAGTGTAGAGAATAGGTGTCGAGCCTTCTAATTAATACTAGTAAAAATGACAGATTATGGGTGTCGAGCCCTCCAATTGGTACTGGTAAAAATGACAAATTGATAGTACTTATATAGTCTACTTGCAGACACAGACCTAGGGACTATCAGAGTTGTATTTACCGCCCCTTGAGTTAAATTGTTAAGTTTTGAACAATGGAAAATTGCATGGCATCATTGAACATGATGGTTTTCAAAAGATGATGTGAATTATTTACAAAAAGGTATAGCATGGCATATGCATTCATCTCTTAAGATTTGTATAATGGAAAATTGTTCACCCTACGATGTGAATTATACTTTGTAATGGTATAGCATGGCATATGCATTCATCAACAATGGAAAATTGCATGGCATCATTCATCTCTTGATGTGAATTATACTTTGTGAAGGATTTTCCTACTGGGCTTTATGCTCACCTTATGAGATTTTTGTGCAGGAAAAGACGTGGTGAATCCGCCTAACTGAGGACGTGGAAATGTGTGTGTTGAGAGCACAAGGTTCTCATCTGCTATGATTTTATTTGTAAGCCAATGGCTTTCTATGTGTGGGTTTGAATAATCGTTTTGTGTAATTAGGCTCAAGTCTTGAAAACTTGTAAACCCTTGGGGGTATTTGTTATTTAATTAATTGTTGTTGGATTAATTGTATTATCGCATAAAGACTATTTACATCATGTAATGGAAGTATGATGATTTATTATCGGTTTTACTTTAAAGAGGCATGACTATTGTATTACCATTTGGGCATGAAAATTGGGGCGTTACAAAAATAATGTGAACATTCTCTCTTATCTGATGTGAATATATTTTTAATTGACAACACATTAAAAATAATGTGAACATTCTCTCTCATCTAATGTGAACGTTCACAACACCTTTCCGAAAAATTCACTCTCATCTAATGTAGTAATGTGAATGTTTACAATATGTGAACCTTTTTATTTTTAATTGACAACATATTAAAAATAGCATTCATTATATTTTTAATTGACAACACATTCTTATTCACAACATATTTTTAATTGACAACATATTCTTATTCACAACATGTAGTGATGTGAACGTTCACCACATGTAAACATTTTCTCTTATCTAATATAGTGATGAATATTCACATTCATATGTTTTAGTATGAATATTCACATCATGTAATTGACAACACAATGATAAAAATTCATTTCAAATTAATGTGAATATAATAATGTAAATATTCATTTCAATTACATGATGTTAATATTCACATCATGTAATTGACAATACAATGATAAAAATTCATTTCAAATTAATATGAATATTGTAACGCCCTCAAAATAATACACAAAACCCATCACTTTAGACATGCATTGATATAAAAGAAATCAACCATTTCTATTCATCAGAGTAATTCTTACAACTGTATTACATATTAACAACAAAAGCAAATGCCCTATGGGCTTACAGCTTTCCAAGTTAACACTTGGTTACACAAAAGAAGAGTACTAACTCAATACATATTAAGCCCTTGGCTTGAATTTACATGTAATACATCAAAATAAACAAAAAGAGTCTTCAACTCTCATCATCATCCATGCTATGTCCTTGGAGGTGGCATACTACCTGTACTTGAAAATAATGTCCCATAAAGGGTGAGCCAACGCCCAGTAGAGATATGCTAAACACAATATGAGCAATAACTAAGACATTAGCAATTGATAAATGTTCAACTTCCATAAATCAATTCATAACCCATTTCCATTTCATTTCAATTTCCATTTCTTATCAATTTCACAATTTACATCAACGGCTCAGAACCTGGCCAACCACTTATATGAGACAATGACTCATATTAAACACTTCCCATTTTACAATAGATAAACATATTAGTTGTATCAACATCTCAACAAATAAGCATACAAGCTGTATCTACAATTCAACAGATATGCATATTAGCTATATCAACACTTCCATAGATAAGCATATGAGCTGTATCAACACTTCCAAAGATAAGCATATGAGCTATATCAACACATTATCTGACAAGCATATGAGCTGTATCAGTGGAGTCCATCCCCTATCTCCTCCCAAACATCATCCAGTTTAGAGGTCCATCCCCTATCTTCCCTTAAACCGTGGAGTACATCCCCTATCTCCTCCCACACACACAACGTATATACACAAGGGTCATATACACAATCAATCAATACATAACGTTAATGTATTCTATCAACTGTCATACGCTATGACTTAACCAATTGATTAGTTTTAGTTTGCCTAATCATCATGCATTGCCTACAACAATCAAAACTACCCTCCACCGGTAGCCCAAGCAATTATTTCTAAAGAGATAATAAAGCTCGAACAGATAAAATATCAATGTCTTCAAAAGTAAGCGATTAATAAATCTAACTCCACTATTCAACCATATAACGAGTCAATTTCATTATTTCCAACTCAATTCCGTACAACCACCATTTTCTCAAATTAATCATACCAATTAATTTATACAACCAATTAGGGTTTTCTACCCCATTTCCCAATATTGACCCAATGGTCTATATTTTAACAACCAACGACAATAACACCATTTTGAAACCCAAAATACATATTATGAGCCCAAAATCACAAAACCCTCTTTAACACATTTTGAAACCCTAAGTCAAAAAATCAACCATTTAAACAATATGCTCAAAATCTAGGTTAAAACTCAT